GCCTCATATTCCTGAACAGGGACCGGGACATCTCCCCCACTAGAACTGAGGACAGATCCAGGGGAGGCACCGTCATGCCTAGGGTCAGGGACAACCTAGTTAGGGAACTTTTGGAGGGGCTGGACATGTTTAAATCAGTAGGTCCAGATGCTCTTCACCTGAGGGTGCTGAGGGAATTGGCAGGAGTCATAGTGGGACCCCTGGCACAGCTCTATGAGCGCTTGTGGTACCAAAGGATTGGAAAAGGGCAATTGTGGTCCGCATTTACAAAAAGGGGAAAAAAGAGGACCCTGGCAATTATAGGCCAGTCACTCTTACCTCGGTCCTTGGGAAGACCTTTGATAAAATTATCAAGGCGCACATCTCCAAGGGCCCAGCAGGGGAGGTAATGCTCAGGGGCAACTAACATGGGTTCACTGAGGGCAGATCCTGCCTGCTAACCTGGTTTCTTTTTATTGTCAGGTCACAAAGTCCCTGGACGAGGGTGTCGGGGTGAATGTCATCTTCCTGGACTTTAAAAAGGCCTTTGACACAGTTTCCCACCATATTCTCTTAAAAAAAACTTGGTGACTGTGGCATTGATGCCCGCACAGTCAGATGGGTGGCAAATTGGCTAGATGGTCGCACCCAGAGAGTGGTGGTGGATAGGTCATTTTCGACCTGGAGGGATATGGGCAGTGGAGTCCCCCAGGGGTCAGTCCTGGGGCCTTTATTGTTCAACTTCTTTATCAGCAATCTGGATGCAAGTGTGAAATGCACACTGTCCAAATTCACTGATAACACCAAGTTGTGGAGTGAGGTGGGCATGCTGGAGGGGAGGGACAGAATCCAGCTAAATCTAGACAGGTTACAGGGGTGGGCAGATGAGAACAGGATGGAATTCAGCGCAGACAAGTGCAAGGTACTGCATCTAGGGAGAAGGAACCAGCAACACACCTATAGGCTGGGGAACACCCTTCTTGTCAACACAGTGGCTGAAAGGGATCTTGGAGTCATTGTTGACTCCAGGAGGAACATCAGCTGCCAATGTGAGGAAGCGGTCAGTAAGGTTAACTGCACCTTGTCATGCATCTACAGGTGCATCACAAGCAGGTCCAGGGAAGTGATCCTTCCCCTCTATCAGGCCACAGTTGGAGTACTGTGTCCAGTTCTGGATGCTGCACTTCAAGAGGGATGTGGCTAGCATTGAGAGGGTCCAGAGGAGGACCACTCACATGGTCAAAGGGCAGCAGGGAAGGCCCTATGAAGAAAGGTTAAAGGGCCTGAAACTATTCAGCCTCCACAAGAGAAGACTGAGAGGGGATCTGGTGGCTGTTTACAAGCTCACCGGGGGGACCGGCGGAAATTGGGAGAGGCTCTGTTCCCCTGGGCACCACCCAGGGTTACTAGGAATAACGGCCACAAATTGTTAGAGAGAAGGTTCAGGCTGGACATCAGGAAACATTACTTAACAGTTAGGGCTGCCAGGCTCTGGAATGGACTCCCAATGGAGTTGGTATTCTCTCCCACCTTGGGGGTCCTCAAGAAGAGGCTGGACAGATATTTGGCTGGGGTGATATGATCCTGGCACCCGTTCCTGCCTGGTGCAGGGGGTTGGACCTGATGATCTGTTTAGGTCCTTTCTGACCCTAAGTACCATGATACTATGATCAGGGGGGCATGGTCTGTGACTAAGAGATAATATAAAAGAGCCTCAACTGCCCATTTTATAGAACTACCCTCTGTCTTAATTACTGAATATTTCTGCTCCTTGGAAAGGAGACTGGCTTAAATATAGGATCAGGTCCCCAACTTCAAAGTCCTGGGAAGAAAGGGCCCCTGGGCCTTGCTCCAAGGCACCTGTCTTTAGAATTTACAGCTAATGTCTGGGTTGTCTATACACTACAGGGATAGTACACACTGGCCATATCGACACGAGATACTTACTGCACAGTAGCTCGTTACTACTGTGTAGTAGCATCTCCAGGTGCTGTAGGAATGATCTACTGCTCAGTTGTAACAAGCATACAGTAAGCATCACTAGGCAACTGTACTGGGACAGTACTACACAGTAATGTCAGTTACTGCTCAGTCATTTAGTACTTGCATAACCAAGTACTAAACCACTTTCCACTTGTTGAGATATAGATAAGATTTCTCCCAGAATAACTGCACTGGTTAGGAGTTGAACTGGGTTTCCCACATTTCCTGTATTCACTGAGAAAGCGTTTGAGGCATTTCATGCTTCCTGGGTCTGCTAGAATTCTAGCAGTTTTGCATGATATATGTGACTCATACTGTGTTGTCACAGACATGCTTCACAGTCCACAGTAGCTAGGATCATTGTATCATTCATTTAGGCCAGCCAGCCATAGGTCAGGGAAAAGATTCTTGGACTAGGCACCGACACTACACATAAATCGGTTTAAGTGATCAGAAACTAGTTTAAACCTGTAACAGAACAGATGTCCAGTGCACATAAAGCAGTTTGAAAATGGCTAAACCTGATTTAAGATAAACCTAGTTGAATGTAGTATCAGACTTAACTGATTTTGGTCAAACCAGTTTATGCAATGCCTATCGCATACCCCTTGTTGGATTAAGTTAAATCAGAGTCCCCCAGCATCTCAGCATGCTCTGTGGGCTGGGAGGGGCTTTCTGCTCCCCAGCAGGGCTGGCCCCTCCCCTCTGCTCCCTGGCTGGAGCTCCAGTGGAGACTGCAGGCACAGTAGGGTCTGCCTTGATTCCCCCTGCCCCCCCCTCACTGCTCAAGTAGGGATTTCCCCCTCCCTCCCATCTCCCACAGCACAGACCCCAGCCCAGTCAACCCTAGGCATGTGGTATGTTAGCTAATGCTGAAGGTGTGTGTGTATCTCCAATGTCACTGGGACATGCAGACAGAAAAGTGCCTGCTTAGGGCTTTTTGGAGCTAATCAACAGATCATCTGGTAATGTTCCTGTGTTCCTTCCTTAGAAAAAGCTGTTTAAGAGCTTGAACTAATAAGAGTCTTTTGTTTTGTTGATGGGATGATAAATGCTGTGTTATCAGCCCCCTGCTGCCTCCCTCACCTGTCAGGTTTGCAGACAGTATGAAGAAGCAGGGAGAGGGAAATTGAAAAGCTCAGTATCATCAACAGATGCATATACTCCACATTCCCTCTTTGCCTCAGAGTGCTAGCCCAGGGCTGGGGTCTGGCAACACTCCTGCCCCTTGAGCAGTGAGGAGGGAAAAGCCTGGGATGGTACAGGCAGGGTGGGGGTTTACACCCCTTCCTAATCAGAGTACCCTTCCAGGGCTTTGCCATGCCCCCTGCCCCAGCTTAGCACAATGGAGGGGAAGGGAGGGCTGCTGCTGGCATTTCCTCAGTCCAGAAGGAATGCGTGTGCACTTGCAAACTGGTTCAACCTAGGCAGGCTAGACTAACCTGCAAAGATTGAATCAGTTCAGGCTTTTTGAATATCTGTCCCTAGCCATAAGGTCCCTGCCATTTATTGAGCAATATTATCTCTGATGAGGGAAGCAACAGCAAGATCTAATTTCTGGACTGCTAGACCTAGAGCCATACATTGTTGATATAGTATTGTTCTTGCATGTGCTGTTTATCCCTGTGATGCTCCTTCATAAATGCTCCTACAGGCTCGAGTTGTTCCCATATCCTGAGCATTTGTTGGATGATATTCTGCATCTTCATGCCCAGTGCTTGCCAAGTCTCTTAAAGTAGGTTTAACAACCCATAGGGCTGCCTTCTATACAGAAGTAGAAAACAAAAGAACGCCATAGAGGATGGGGGAAATCTCCCGAATCATGAACAGCAACTAGGTTAGAAGCATATCCTAATTCTGGGGCTCCCCTGCAACAAACTTTCTTAACATCCCCTTCAGAGTCTAGTTGAACCTCTCTACCAGACTATCTGGCTGAAGGTGATAAATGGAGATTCTGGCTAGGTGGACTTTCAGAAGCACCCACGTCTCTTGAAGGAGCCTGGATAGAAAGACGATGCCTTTGTCTCTCAATATTTCCTGAAGAGGGCCTACCTGTGAGAAGATTTTTAGTAGTTCCATGGCCACTGCCTAGACCAAGGCATCGTAGACTGCTACCTCCTCTAGGTACTGGGTAGTGTAGTCCACAAGCACCAGGATAAAGCAGCTCTTACTTGTACTTGGTTCCCAGGGCTCAACAAAATCTTCCCTACCTATTCAAAAGGGGTACCCACCAAGGGTAATGGCACCAATGAGCATCGTGCCACCAGCTGGCACTTAGGGCATTAGGCACAGTAATGTTTAATGTCTTGATAAATCCCAGGCCTGAAGAACCTGGAGAGTTCCTGGACTGAATCTTCTCTCTATTGCTATATGAAGTTAGGCCCCCCAGCCTTATTTTCAGGTAAATTGCCTATGAAACCTGGTCCTGGGAAGTCTTCTCTGGGCCCACCTAGCTCACATTGAACCCTGACCCTTTTTTCAGGCCTCCTACCAAGCCTTTTCTCTGCCTCAAGGGCTTCCTCCTAACACTTCAGTACTCCCAGCATGGCATAGTTTAGGGTCTGAAGATCTCCCCTAATCTGATCTTGCAACTCTGGATCACCCCTATTTCTATAATTCAATATGTGCTTGTTCATCATTACCTTTTATTTCTAGTCATCCCCACTTAGGCTAGGGACAGACATTACACACAAACCAGTTTAAGTAATCAGAAACTAGTTTAAACCTGTAACAGAACAGATGTTCAGTACACATAAAGCAGTTTGAAAATGGCTGAAACTGGTTTGAGATAAACCTGGTTGAATGTAGTATCAGACTTACCAGATTTAGGTTAAACCAGTTTATGCCTAATGTCTATCCCATACCCCTTGTTGGTTTAAGTTAAATCAGACTCCCCCAGCATCTCAGCATGCTCTCTGGGCTGGGAGGGTTTTCTGCTCCACAGCAGGGCTAGCTCTGGCTGGAGCTCCAGCAGAGACTGCAAGCGCCTGCCTGGCTTCCCTCATCTTCCTCCCCACTAAGCAGGGATCCCCATCCCCTCTGCCTTACACAGAGGCACAGCGTTAGATCACGGTCAGTGATGTGGGAGACTTTAAGTCCCCAAAGCATGTTAGAATCCGACTTCTCTTCTCCTCCCTGCTCAGAGGTATGTCCCCTCATCTCCCTTTTCCTCCCCATAAGGACCTCCCTGCAGGTCCCCATGCAGCCTAGCTGGAGCAGGACAGGAGCTCCCTTTGTCCCCATACAGCAGGGATAGTGGTAGACAGGGTTGGAGAGAAGG